ACAGGTTTACGCGGCGCAACAAAAATTCAAAAACTGCCACGTGCCCAAAAATTCAAAATTCCTACTCCCGCTAAGTCCCAGCCGTTTCTTGAATTTCTTGGCGCGGCCGCTAACCGGCCACGAAAGACCCGAATTACATTTTCTACTCCGCCCTTCTTAAACAAAAGAAACAGGAAAGAAAAACGAAAATGAAGCACCGTTTTCCCTCACTATCTTGAATCTGTACTTTGGGGTTCTATGTGCGATTCTCCCTTAGGGGCACCAGAAATCGCCAGCACGGATCCTCGTTTATCACAATGTTCTGGCTTTGTAGGTGCTGTTTTTTTCACTGTTGACACTCAACCCATTGGCCCAACACCCTGTGCAGCAATCATCGCCGCATAGAGCGCTAATGGACACATGGCAAAAGACGAACACAAGGAACGAGCGACCAGGCTGAGGATCTCCACGTCGGACTCTCAGCTCTGTAACGAGCAACGCTGAGATCTGGTCCAAAAACGGGATCCCACATGTGTACCTTCACCCTTTCGCTCTAAGAGACAATCAGTAGCCCACGCAAAAGTACAGCAACACTTTTTGGACTGAATGGATGTTTAAAAACAGCACGCACCTGTTCCCTTCCCGTGCGCCATTGACCTGTTCTCGCTAAAACCAGAACCAAGCGGGGGACTTCAGTTCCATCCAAGTCCCCACACTCAATTTCCCAAAAATCCTTGGCACACACCATTTTACTGTCTTTCAGGGCCTTTTCCGAACAACACACAACTCCGACCGGAGGACAGGATAGGGCGTGAGGTTGAGCGTCACAGTGCTAACAGGCATTCTAACAAAGATCACTACAAATTGTCACATCTCAAAGGAGGTGGTAGATTCACAGTGCTAACAGGCATTCTAACAAACATGACTACAAATTGTCACATCTCAAAGGAGAGAGAGCAGGTTAACCGAGCACCTATTTTTCAGGCCCATTTATAAGAAAACCAGACAGTCATTTTAACAACACTTCACACCAATCTATAGAGTGCACTTCTTACGCCCCCATCAGAGGTGGTAGATTTGACTTACTTTATAAAGAAGACGGTGAGAATAAGAGAAAAGATAGCAGATGTCGTGTAAATACAAGGGGCTGTGTCCAAGAAATGGAAATGAGAGAAGATATGTTATGTACCTAAGCCGTGGCATCCATGCAGACACCTTGCAAGCATGTACGCCTGCATGCATGCACAAGAAAAGGAGTCATGGTGGTATTTACAGGCCAAATGACAGCACTCACTTTGTTGCAAATGGGCAGTGCACATCATAGAGATTAATTAAGTACTGGAAGCTCTCGGTTAAACAAGATGTCAATCATATTGAGACATCCTCAGGTTGCTCTAGTGTTGAACCAGCCCAGCACACCCTACCTGATCATTGACAACCAATGTGGGTGTGCCTGCATGCATGCATAGGTGCATGCACAAGAAAAGCAGAGTCATTTAAAGGCCAAACGATCAGCAATCAGTTTTCTGCAAATTGGAAGAACACATCATACCCGCTTTAATTAAACTCCTGGAAGCACAGTCAGACAAGATGTCAATCATATGGAGACAACCTCAGGTTGCTTTAGTGTTGGATCAGCCCAGCATACCCTACCTGATCATTCACATCAATCCGGTCTTCCCTCACATCCCCAACCATGAAGACAGAGAGTTGCGGTGCCACTTGACAGGATCACTCAAGCAATCAGGAGATACCTATGAATGAATCTTGCTATGCCCTGTGTGCCCCACTGAGAGTGTAGATTAGCATCACAAAACGACCTAAGCAGTCAACGATATAAGCACGGATATCCAAGTATACCCTCCTTTCTCAGTCTCCTTTCCATTCCATATGGTTTGCACACCTAATGATTGCCAAATTGATCGTGGCGTGCTCCAAAGATGCAGGCTGCCAATAAGGTGTGTAGCCACGGCTTTGTTCCCAGCCATCTGACAACAACTGGTCTCAGAGTCTAATTTGGTACCGGCTTTGGAGCAGCCAAAAGGTCATCAAGGACAGAACGCCCGGTCATTATTGCTATATCTGGACTGAAGGTTACCCCAAACACAGCTATACTGTCATGGCTCTATTCTCGTGAAGCGGGTAGATCACCAAGGTCTGAGGATGCATTGCACACTTTTCGTGGCATGAGATTTTCTGTGCACTTCCCTTGCGCACCAGTTCGGGAACGCATAGCTATTGCTTCACCTGCTCTTTGTTTTCCTATTTGTATCTTTACCCAAACTCTTGCAGTTCTGGAGTGACTCTCTATATAACAGCTTCAATAGCAGCAAACCCAAAAACAGCCCGAAGGATGTCAGAAAAATATGCGGCCAGGTTAAACAAGATAGTATACAGGTAGATACGAGGGGCACTCTCCGGAAGGCACCACAAACGAACGTGGGAGATAGTTGGGCAGATAGGAAAAGAGTGTGCACCGGCAACTATCTTTAGTTCCGTCCGTTTCCTATCCTCAGCAGCGACTGAAGATAGTCCAAATCGTTTCCTCTCCTCACCTCCCCCATGTTCTTTAATCCTTTGCTCTCCTCACATACTGCCAACGTCTTCTTCGATCCTTTCCTTTCCCTCTCGGCTGCCAACGTGTCGTTTAATCGTTTCCTCTCCACGATTGAAGGAGAAAAAAGGAGGACGAGCAAAGAACACCAGGAGGAAGATGATGAGAACAGACACAGAACCCTAAACCCTAAACCCAACACCAACATCAGCAGCAGAAGAAGAAGAAAAAGGAGAAGAACCTACACCGATTTTAGCAAAATGGGAGTACAGAAAGCAGCGCCAGGAAAAAAGGCCACAGCGTTCGACGCGGAGATGAAGGAAACAGAAAAGGAACGCTGTCCTTTTGGACAATTCCGTGTAAACCAGAGCGAAGCTCATGCACCACGGCGAACAAAAAGAAAAAGGCGAAGAAAGAAGTAGAAGAAAATCAAGCTGAGTGCTGTCACCCCTTCCAAAAGGTGAAAAGAGTCCTCCCGTGCATCCGTTAAAACTGGAACAATATAGACAAGCCTATGGTATCATGCTCCCTGCGCAAGGATGACAAGCACAGGTCGAGAAAAACAGGTGCACGTGAAGTAGCTAACGCGTTACGACCATATACTGGGTGCCAATGCGATCACGGAAAGAGGGGAAGCAATAATATGAGAACAGTAAAAGAGGGAAGGGGGAGGAAAGAGAGCAGCGAAGTGGGGAGAGAGAGGGAGGGAGGGAACAAAGAAGCAAAACGAGACCTCCAGAGGCAGGAGAAAGATAGAGAGGGAGGGAGGGAGACTACGGACCGGTGGAGCAAAATGAAACCTGCGGTGACAGAAGCAATTGAGCAACGAAGGGGCAGGAGGAACCGGATCACAGCTACGTGCTGCGACGGTCAGATCAATCAAGGAAGGAACACTCAGACTGCGATCAAGTCGGGGAGTGATAACATACAAACAAAGGTATGGAGAGGGAAGAAGATAGCGATATGAGGATGACATTGTAAAGCAGTCATGGCACAGGCAAGAATAGTACAAAATGATTCCGTCCGATCTCCACTCTCTGCTTGCAGAGGATGAGATCACCGACGAGATAAAGAAATTGGGTAACGAAATGACGAGTACAATCAGATGGAGAACGGCAATTTGCGCAACAGCTACGAATGTTCGAGCGGAGAGAGGGTTGCGAAAGGAAATTCCCCTATCGATGGAGCCAAACAGGTCACGGGAAATGGGTGGACATTAGGTTATCTCGAATACATTGTGAGAAAAGAACGGAGAATCAAGTAGGGGGGAAGAGAGCTGAATAGCTTAGACAGAACGAGTTACAGCCGGAGAGTAGGTGACAAAGCAACCTGGATCTGGACTGCAAGGCGATACCTGAACGGCTGGAGAGAACGGGGCAAAGTACTGTTGCGAACATGGAGATACAGACTTTACTCAATAATAGCCTGTTCTGTTTGGTGTCACGCAGATGGTCCTCCACGACATCCACGACATGGAGCTGGGTGACCGGTAGCCCTTGAGGAGATGGTGTGGGCTACTAGTAAAAACGCGAAATGAGAGGGCATCAAAAGGAGAAGCATTGAGGAAGACAGGGAAAAAGCGCACGAGCGAGCGAGCGAGCGAGCAAGCGAAACAGACACAGATAGTCAATTGGTCGTAGGCGGAACAGTAGCAGTACGAGGAACAGGAGAACCGTGCAGAAACATTCGCGTGAAGGACATGCAGCACTCAGATACGCCCTGCGACCACTGAGTGCCATTATGCGAAGGTCTACCTTCCTCGCCGAACTGCCACAGCGTCACAATTCCCGCCCAAGCGATCCACCGACATCGGGGTCACTCTTCCCGCCTCAGCGACACCAAGACAATCATGTAGCTCGAGAACTACACTCGCAAATCAATTCGCCCGCCGCCACTCTCTCTTCCTTCCTATCTCTCTCTCTCCACCACTGCCACTCTCTCTCTCTCTACACCACTGCCACTCTCTCTCTCTCTACACCACTGCCACTCTCTCTCTCTCTCTCTCTCTCTCTCTCTCTCTCTCTCTCTCTCTCTCTCTCTCTCTCTCCTTCCCCTGGCGTTGTTAGCATGCGTGCAAGTATGCATGACTACTCCAAGAAGTCCCTTCCTTGCACTTCACCCCGCTCTATGACCCACGCCGTCTTCGCGGTTCATCAGGTAGTTCTCCTCGTTGCCTTCCTCGGCTTCAACACACCCCTTTCCTCCCATTGACACGCAGCTTCCTCTCTCGAGCCCGTGCGGAGCGCACTTCACATTCAGGAAGAAAGCACTGGCCGAGGAGCCCGCAAGTACACAATGCCCATTATCTGTAAATCTCGAGTCGCCCATCAGCTTTCGCCTCATCTGTGCCTTCTGCTCATCAAATTACGGAGAATGTAGTCAGCCAAATGACACGTGATCAATGTGATCCGCATCATCGCGATTATTATTGTCATCTAACAAATCGACGTCGCCCAAGAGCTGCAGCTTCAAAGAAACATTACACGGCACAAAGGACCACTCGCCCAAATGAATGCCGTTCACTGATTCTGGATTTCCTGCGACCAGTCAGCTCAACTACGGTACCTCAAGTGCGTGAAAAGCAACRAAAGCAGACARACATTACACAGACAGAGGTACTCAAGCAATTATCAAATCGGAAACGAAATTCAGAATTTCCTCTATAATGGCATACATGCAGAGAGGAGACATCTGTCTAGAGGAAAAGGGTGGTGTTAAGAAACACCATGATTAACTTTAGGCGCCGGCCCTCCATACCAGTGAAGGGACCATTCGCGCCCGACGCTCAAGCCTCAGCCTCGCCCTTCTTCCCAGTCGCCGACTTCTTCGGCAACAACACAGAGTGTATGTTGGGCAAAACTCCTCCGGCGGCGATTGTGACACGACCCAGAAGCTTGGACAACTCCTCGTCATTCCGGATGGCCAGCTGAATGTGCCTCGGAATGATACGCGTCTTCTTGTTATCCCTGGAAGCGTTKCCAGCCAGCTCGAGCACCTCAGCCGCCAGATACTCCATCACGGCCGCCAGATACACAGGCGCCCCGGCTCCAACACGCGTAGCATATTTGCCCGCCTTCAAGTACCGAGCAATCCTTCCTACAGGGAACTGAAGTCCCGCCTTCGCGGATCGGGAAACTCCCTTCTTGCGTGCAGTCTTGCCGCGGCCAGACATGGCGAACACTGGATCGAAGGAGAGAGAAGACACGAGAGAGTGAGTCAAGACTCAGAAGGTAGAACGGATACCACTTTTACGATGAAAACTCGCAAATTTGCTGAGCTCCCGCGTCGTGTTGCGAAATGGAAACTACTGCTACCCRTTTACACAAACTCTAGTACTTATATGGCCTCAAGAGCAGGGACATGTTAACGACCAATGAAAAGAAAGCTCTTGGATCGGTCCGGGCATTCGGCATCCGTCCTTGCGAGGAGGTCGCCTGCGCGCCCAGATCGTAAGCAAATACCCGGCAGCCGGCATTGCCAAAACCGCAGTCCGGTTTTCGATTTTTTTTGGCTTTGCCGCGCTGCCGTTTTGACAAAAGTTTTCGTCCAGGCCAATCCGTCGGCTATTGCGCCGCGCGGCAAAATCGAAAAGCTGGACAGCAACAGCCATTTATGGACCAACAGGCCAAAACTGGTAGGACCTGTCCTAAACAACCGGGGACAGAGATATTGAACCGCTACCGGTTAGCGTCTAGTCCAATTGATTATTAGCCGTCAAGATGCATCATTTGACGGCCGACAATTAGACATTCTTAACACAGATGCTAATGGCCCTTTACCACATCTAGGTGCAGATAACGCCCTTGGCAACTGAACCTGGCAGTCCATTCTGCCTGGGCTGATGTTATCCTTTTCTCTCCACAAGCTTCGCTTTTTAGGTAACCTTCTCACGGTAAAGGAGACGTCGCGGGTTGGAGGGCGGTGGGTGTCTTGATAGGGAGGGAGTGCGGAGTAGGGGTGTTGAGTCACAGTGGCAGGGCAGAGTTGTGGGGTGGTCCCCCTTGGCGGGTGGTAGAGGAACTGTTCTTTTATTTTTGAGAAAATTGCATCTGTACCCCACTTAAAGATGAAAATACCCTCTATACCCAGTCCCAGTGCCAATTTGCACCTATACCTGGAAAACGGCCGGTGGAAATTATTTGCATGCCCGCGACTGAGGTGGACCCAGGTTGGTACCGCAAACTTACAGTTATAACCAACTACCGGAATGCACAAATTATGGACATACCCAAGCAAAATTATGGGCATACCCGGGACTGACGTGGACCGGCCAAATTATTCAGATACCATACTACCGGATGCCTGAAATTATGCTTATATCCCCAGCAGCCGCTGGGCCACAAGGGTCCACGAGGTGGGCATTAGCATAATTTTGTGGTTGCCATCCAAGGCCCGCTTTTGGCTGTTGGTACACCCGCAAGTTTGCCAGCCCGTTTCAAAGCATGGGCATAGTTTCGTTGCCTGGAACTCAGGGCCTGCAGGACTGGGTATGCCTACAATTTTGCACGGGGGAAAAGTGGGGTACAACGCACAAGTTGGGCGCTGGGACTGGGTATAGCGGGTATTCCCATCTTTCAGTGGGGTACAGATGGAATTTTCTCTTTTTTTTCTTTTGGAAAGATAGCAATTGGCCACGGGGTCCATTACCCAACTTAGGCTAAGGACTAGAGACAGGGGGGCAAGTCTCACTAACAAGTTGAGCCAGTCCAACGCTCAATTTTCAACCAAGGTGCAACTTACCGCGACATTGGAGATGGCATTCAGATACGTCCATCCAGTGGTGGAATAACTCCACGATTTTACAAAATCCTTTTGTTCTTTTCTTGTGTCGAAGAAATGGGGTAAAATTCACGATTGCTCAAATGCAATGTCCCCTACACTGCCCGCTTTCGGTTGAGCTATCTACCCCATACGGATTGGGTTAAATAGTTCAACGGCTGATTGGTATGGTGGCACAAATTCAAGACTGAAGGTCACAGTTACCACCAGGATTGTCTGACACCTGCTCTGCCTTCCCATGACTATGCTCTATGGCCTCCATGGTTGAACATGTCGGGCAGGTCCATTACAACAGTAATGTCCTTCACGTGTATAAGGGCACCCATGGTCTGAAAAGTGAGACGGGTGCATTGACAATTTTGTTGGTAACATCTGCTATATGTGTCCATGTCATGCTTGATGGCCTCCTATAGTTCAAAAAGTTGGCCATGTGCATTACAACTATGTGTGTCCTTCGTATGTATTCGGGCGCCCTATCGTCACCTAAGTCAGGCATGTGCATTAGCAATTTATGCGGTCACATCTTATCTGCCTTCCCATGCTCATGCTCGATGGCCTCCCATGGTTGGAAATGTCGGACAAGTGCATTACATCAATCGTAGTCGTGAGGTCGGGCCAGCATCATGAATCCCAATCGCGCCTCCCGTACCGGAATCATATATGGTTAATAGGTAGTGTTATTTTCGGTGAATTTTTCACCGAAACTACTATATTTCCCCGAATTTCGCCGCACCACCACAAGCAATGTCATCAAAAATTTAGCGAACAAACAATGTAGGCTCATAATAAAAACATCAAACAAACAAACAAACAGACAAAAAAAAAACTAAAAAGCAATGCAACTCTACTCGGAGTAAAAATTGGGAAGAACACCGAATCCGGAAAACAAATTGGCGAACTTCGAAAGCTACTCCGAATAGGGTTGACGACATTGCTTGTGTTGGTGTGCCAAAAAACACCGAATTTTTTATCTTCCAATAACGGCCTCTTGCCGGAACGAATCATTTTATTTTTTTAGTATCGAAAAAAGTAGAGAAATCCACTATCAAAGTATACGACTATGACGCTAAGAATCTTCGCAAACAACCCGGAAGTAACCAGGACAATGAGATATTTACCCAACTTCACTTTAACCGAACAACTTACCAACTTAGTCCATGCTAGCTGTGCTGCCACCATTTCACTCGAGCCCTCTGATCTCCATTGCTAATATCTTATCAATTATTATATGTTTGAAACGACATAACAAACCCTTCCTCGCAATTCAGTCTAATTACTCAAACATAGTACGTAGGTCTAACATAGCCTGCAGGGCGACCACCCTCTAATTGGCACTCCTACCTTGATCCCAACCTTCCAACATAAGAAACTTAAAACCCAGAGTCCCCACAAAACATCTAACTACCAGTCAATACCACCCATGGTTAAATGTAAACTGAGTGCCCCGGTATTGGTATTTAACCTACTTCAACCAACTGCAGAATTCCTACTTCTCCTCAGGGCCACTGTTAGCGACCAATAGGGGGATTTCTCTTGACCCAACGTTCTCATAAACACTAAAACCCTTCCGTGTTGCTAAACTACCATTGTTCCTCAAACTCCGATCCGCCTTGATGTACTGCATAAGCCTATAACGAATCATGCTTTCACTTCCACATTTGGCCACCAAATCATCAAAACACCTACAAATTATATTTTTTCCCATCGCGTTTGTAAAACGAACATTAAAAATTGCTCAACTAAATAAAAAAACACATCCTAATTTACGGAAAAAAAAGTGGCATCGTTGAGTTACCCCAACTCAACGGTGTAATTGGTACGTGGCCCCATATTACGTGTCCCATTTCCTATTATGAAGACTTTTTCAAAAAAGTAACTCTTGAAGCATAACGTCTAAAGCATTGAGCCACCAACCCCAGATATCATCGACAATACTATTGAGGAGTTAACCAATGTAAAACCACCAAAACTTCTCATCCAACTTCTGCCTATGTTTCTTTTTTTTTTTCCTTTTCTTTTGAATCAGCCTACAATCCCCAACCCAGGTACCACCCGGGTTGGAGGTCGCCCAGGGCCGGATCCATAGTCTATTCAGGTTGAGCACCACCCAGGTTGGAGGTTACCTAGGACCGGATCCAGTCTATTGCTACAACTAGCTGCCCTGTTTTATGAGTATTGACTACTGCTCCGACGTATTCTCTGTCCTATGATTCGGTTGTTTGTCATGTATAGTCGTGGCATGACGACATGCGAGAAGGGAGTTTACCATTCCGTGAAGGTAAGAATTCAACTCCCTGTTGGTAAGGAAATATGCTACATGCGTCGGAGATGGTGTGTTTGTGTATTTGGAGGTCGTGATGCAGTATCTAGCGATTGAGGTGCTAAAGCTGACTGGTGATGCTTCCAGGGATAATAAGAAGATGCGTATCATTCTGAGGTACATTCGACTGACTATTCGGAATGACGAGGAGTTGTCAAAGCTTATGGGCCATGTCACAATCATCGCCAGAGGAGTTTTGCCCAATATTCACTTTTGTTGTTGTCGAAAACGTTGGTGACTTGGAGGAAGGGCGAGGTTAAGGCATGAGCGTCGGGCGCGGATGGCCCCTTCATTGGTGAGAAAAACAAGGTCGAGGCTTGAGCGTGATGTGCACATGGCCCCTTCACTAGTATCTAGGCAAATGTCTTTTCTCTGCAGTCATATGAGCTTCGAGTAAATGTTCAATTTTGTTCCTCGTACAAACATTTCATTCGATGTGTCCCATTGCAATCATTTTATTGAGTTGTGTGTGTACATTATCTTGGTAAAGACAAAGCATCTTCGCTTTGAAGCTGTCCGGTTTGTATTAGAAAATGATGTAGGTCACTGTAAGCTGGCGACCTTCTCTGTAATTTTACATGGTTAAGGCAAAAATGAGGCGAATGCTGATAGGGAACTCAAGATTCATTGTAGATAATCAAAATGAAGATAAGTTGTGGGTGATATGTCGTTGTGGACTTCTCGGCCAATGTGTTATTTTTATATTTGAATTACGGTCCATATAGGCTCGACAAACGAAGTTACAGATCAATGGGAGGAAAGGAGAGCGATAAGGATTACTACGTGATGGACTCCCACAGTGGCATGGGTCGTAAAGCGAGTGAAGTGTGATAATGCATCTACCTCTTAGATGCCTAATTAGGGTGCCTTACATATGACCACACATTGTAAGGATGGGAAGGGATGTGTGTATGTGTATGTGCGTGTGTGTATGTGTGTGTGTGTGTGTGTGTGTGTGTGTGAGAGAGAGAGAGAGAGAGAGAGAGAGAGAGAGAGAGAGAAAGAGAGAGAG